CCACCTCCCTGAAGGATTTGAGCGTGGTCCAGCCCTTTGAGTTTTTCCCCGACCCCGTCTACCACAAGTTTGCAGACCAGGACAACGTCCAGAAGTTGCAGCCCGGGCAGACCGTCCTTCTGGAAATTCGGGTGAGATTTCACCCAACCACGATCGTAAAAGTCATACGCCGTGGTTTTTCATAATTATTGTGTTTCCTGATGCATGATGAAATGTTGATACTCCAGCCTACAGTTGAAGGGACAGAACTCCCCCCCCCATGCTATGTTTATTTGTCATAATTTTTTCACCTGCGTTTCAACTTCCATACCTCAGGGGGGGGGTTTAATGCAAATTTGGGAGGAGGGATTGATTGGATTAGGCCAGCTTTGGGTAGGCATGAAGCGGTTCATTGAGTTTTTGTTGGGTTTGGATTTGCATTTGGTCAACATTAAAAAATCTTGATCCCATTTCATATTAATATTCATGAGGGAATAAAAATCTGAATAATGAACGCTGATAATGTCACCTGCAGCTCAGGCCTTGGTCGTGTCCATTCTCCTAAACCAAACACACATTTATTCCTTTTTGAATCCAAAAGTCAAACAAGTTTACAAACCACAAATTTCCAACAATTTTGTTCAAAAAGTTTTTGTCGATTTTTTAACAGACCTCTCCAGTCATGTTATATTTCCTCTCGTGAATAGTCCTAAACAATCTCATATACGCAAATTGGTACGTACGTGGCGGCATGTACGGATTGGTATGTTGAGGTGGCACACAGCCAGCGGGTGCTTGATCCACCATTTAAGACCAGTCACATGACAGGCTGTTGACCAATAGGACTGGCATAACCCACTTAGGTATTTATGGATGGGTACATATGGCCAGTTAAGGTCAGTTTTTCTACTCCAAAATAGCTTTTGGAGTTTTGGGGGGTTTTGGGGGACAAATTCTTCAATGTTGCAGTTTATTTCTGGCACCCATAAAATACGTAGGGAGGCACAACTCTTGAATTTAATCATCGGTATCTTCATTCTTTCCCCGGTGTATTTCTATTCAGCTGTTTTTTCAACTGCCCTGGTAAAAAATAGGCACCTGTTCAGAATTCAACCAATTCTCATACAAAAGGTCCGTAGCATATGTAGTCATCACCCCTGGCCATGTGTGTTTTTTGCCGCTTGTTTCAATACAAAGAAGTTTGCTAGTTGGGATTTTTGTAACCTTACCTCATTTGTAAGTGTGGTTTTGCTACCTGGCAAACTGGTTTACTCAAAACAAAGATGGTAGCTCTTTTGTGCATAGTGTGGGTTCCGCAATTCAATTCTAATTACTCAAGAAAGGCATTCTGGATTCTTGTGGATTGGGGGGTCCACTTAGTAGCAGTGTAGGATCGTCTTCCATCATGGTGCTTTGACCCAACCAAGTATTAATACGTCACCTGCAGAAAAGAAAAAAGAACTCTTAATTGAGTGTACACATCCTCAGTGGAACACATAAAGAAAATTGTGTGCGTTTATACATCATCTGGCGTAAAGTGGCCAAGTGTACATATCCATCATTCGCCGATGCTCAAGGCGCTACACAGTTATTGTTTCTGCTCACTGGTTTCATAAACACTCCTAAAACCAGCTCAACTCCCTGGGGGTGTAGAGCTCACTGCTGCCATTTCAGACACAAATGACCTATCAAACACACCATCCATCTCAACCCTCACAAGGTACCCAGCTATGGTGGAGAGAGGCAAGGGGGAGTAAAGGGACTTGCTCAAGGTCGCATCGTATAACCAGCAGCTGGATTCGAACCCTTGACCCTGTGTTCAGGAGAAACAAACCCTTACCACTGGTCTAGGCCACACACCTCTACTTTGCAGAAAACACTGCACGGTGCATTTTCTTTTGCTGGGCAATAATATGTAAGGATTTGTTGACATTTTAACATGTAACCACGGGTACAGTTCCTGGTATGCAGATTTTTTGTTTCGCAAGTCCATGGAATCGACCTGTGACATTCTTCAACAGTTATACTATGTACCACTTGGAGCAAGGCATTCAAGTCTGTTAGTCCTTTTTTTTTTCATTAAATTTGTTTGTCCTATCCAATTTGCTCCACCCAGGGTGAGAATCTGACCCTTACCTACATGGAGGGGGATGTCAATGTGACCATTGGCGACGCAGTCTGCAAAGACGTGACCCTGATCGCCACCAGACTCACATGCTCCCTGCCGACTGAACAACCGCAGAGCAAGACGGGCGCAGAATTCCCTGAAGTTGTGGTAAGTCATTTTGAGGCTTTAGCCATCGTGTTGCTGCCTAGTCACTGCTGGGAAGGAGGGGGTTGGACTGAATTGTTGCTGTAACCCTTGAGAGTGGGTCCATTTCTCTCAATCTCAACCCTCATTTGTGCATTTGTAGGTTCTCGTCTCTTTTCTCACAAGGCCCCTTTTGTCATTTGACGTCCAACTTCGTGGATGCTCTTATTAACCCACATGACGTGATGCACATCCGCCGTCGGGAGCAAAGACCGCAGCACCACGGCCAGTTAAAAAGCCTCCGAAATGGTATAAATGACAATGAACTGATGTAACCAAGTCACAAGCTGTTGAAATAAGCCGTGACAAAAAGAAGTCTTAGACTTGAAACGGACTGGACTAGTGTCCTACCAATCTGACTCGCCAGGGAGTGACGCAAACTTGTTAAGTGCAGTCATTGTCCAGTTCCATTTGTGAGTTGAGGCAACCGACCCTGACTCAGAAATAGTTTTGTGTCTCTTTCTTTACACCAAAGGTTCATCACGGTAATCTCAATTTCACCATCGGCCAGCTGGAATACGTTTCGGAGAACTACCTGGTCTACATCCTGATGGGAGTGGGCATCTTCATCGTCGTCGTCATCGCTTTCATCGCTGTGCTCGTCTGGTTATGCAAGGTCAGTCCCAGCTACACCACCGTCCAGGAGATGGAGACCCATCGGGAACAACTGGATCTACAGGCAGCCCAGGAATCCAAAGACGTTGAGGCCACAAACTTGCGAGGGGACAGCGAGTGAAAGATACCACAGCTCAGATCAACCACTTGCCGATGGTATTATTTTGGACCGTAAATGTCAATTTCTGAAAAACATAAGATGTTGCAGCTAGCAGGTTGAAATCCTGTCTGAATAATTGTCTTTCAGCTTTTAAAGCACTTTCAGCTTTCATATTTTGTTTGCATCTTGTTGATGGTGGCATTTAATGTCCTTGCAATTAATTTATTATCCAGATTGAATTACATAGCACAGTATACATGTTTTTTAGTAAAATAAATTTGCCAAATTTTAGAATTATTCCATTATACACAGTTATATCCATGCCGTAGATTAATTATTCTGTGTTTTACAGATATTGCCAAGTCAGGTGTCACCTGGACAAATAGAAAATTGAAGTGTGATCTACCTGCAAAAAAATTGATATCAAATACCGTCACATTCACTGCAGAAATATAGGTAAAACTTTAATGTTTTCAAAATTTACCATGTGAAAATTTGGAGGGCTTACGTTTCGATCTTAGCAGAATCTTTCTCGAAGGCAAAATGACGAGTGGACAGGACAAACAAGCAAACGGGGTACCAACCAAGCATGTCAAAATTAGCTGGATGTCAAAAATTTGACGTCTGGTAGTGCAGTTCCTCCATATAAATTAAATAGAGTCGAGAGATCATCAATCAATCAGTCCACAATCCATCTATCTGTCAATCAACTGATCAGTTGATCAATCAATCATCAAAGTAATGCAGTACTCAGCCTTCAATAAGACTCTGATTTGTCCCTGCCCTTGTCCTTATAGGGCCCATAATCAATCTGTAGGAAGGTCCGTATGGTTTTATCACATTATCTTCTTTACAAATGCTAACAAGCCTTGGAAAACACCCAAAAAATTGACTGTTTTGAGAGAGATTTGGTGTTGCATCTGTCATGCAGCTCATCTCGCCCGTTTTAAAAGTGACGCCAGGAAAAATGAGGGCCAGGAAGATGGCTGAACAGACTGAACCTTTATTGACAAGCGCAGGTGGCGATGTCAAACATTTGCAGAAAGTTTGCCCCCAGTTAGCAACAACTGTTGCCTCAAAGTCATAGTTATCATGTGTTGTTTTCATAATTGCATGAGTTTTTAAACTTTGAGAATAAGCATGTTTGGTTTTGTACGTAGAGCCAGTCGTGTTGCCAACCGTGGGTAGGGAAAACCTGCCTTTTGACATAGAAAAAAAGAAACCTATTTGTGACTCACCATCCCCAAACCAGGCTGAAGTCGGTATTTGTGATGTTGGACAATTCCTTTCCTTCAGATTTTTTTTTACACTTTAAAGTGATCCATGTTTAATCAAAATTCTGTCTGCAGTAAGCTTCTTACGGGTAATAATAGCTGTAAAACTCCCATGAAAATCTGAACAGTGGAAGTTCCACTATTTTAGGGTTATGAAGTTACCTAATTTAGGCTGGATTGGGGATGGTGGGTCACATTTTGTCTGTACTAGTCATAAGTTGCAGGACAGGGAGCCATAGGTTACTTCTATCCTGAGAATTCCACATCATTATTGTAATTTGATAGAATAAAGTATTTATGTGATGATTTATAGTTCTTATATTTCTGTAATTTATGAAGTATTAAGTCTGATAATTTGCTGTTTATGGCAACTGATGATGATAACGTATTGTGTAGATGAACAAACGCTTAGAAGTAACAAATGAAAAGAAAGGAGACATATACATCATCATCTTCTTTGGTAGGTAACAACATGTGCAACCTGCTTGTAAACGTGTTTTAACTGTGGAGTGCCTTTTGATGAATATACGCTCTTAAAATGTGCCAATTGTACCTAAAATGTGTAACTATTGATGCTTGTGAGGTATGGAAGGTAGACCAAGAGTTTGTAAATCAATTGCAGGGCCTATACCTGGTGGGTGAACTCAGAAATGGAAAGTTGATCAGCAAGACATATTTGTCACTGAAAGCTCGGAATGAAAGGACTTATTATCTGGGTTTTTTATGAATCGTACAATGATCATGAGCCGTTTTGTACTCGCTGCACTTTTCAAGACAAGTTTGGGTTCATAATGCCCCCGTGTGGAGACAATTGGATAGGCATGCCCATGATTGGACGTGTGCTGTACATTGAAACATGGGACGGAGACAAGCCAGTCCCTGTCTTTAAGGGCATTCCCCTGTGAGGTATATTATTGTAGGATTGCAGGCCGTAACATAATATAATCCATAAATAAACTTGGACCAGAAGCTCGCCTATATTACAGGATTGCCAGGTTGTATTTCTGTGAAATGTGAATAAAAATGTGCTCCAGTGGCTTAGGTTTCGGGATTTTAAGATGGCGACAAAAAATGTAAATAGTGCTTGCCTTCTAGCTCTATTGTGTTCCTCAAAAGTGAAAAAATGCACATATTTTCACGGTTATGAAACGCAGAGCACAATCAATAACTCTTGTGATGTATGTAAATACCCCCACAATCGGACTGGCACATGACTCCCGGCTGAAGTAATTTAATGCGCACGCGCACACCTCAGCCACCTTTCACGCAAAAACTAGTAATGTACAGAATAATGTCCGACTCGGTCTTGTACCTCCGAGGGGACCCACGTAAAAAGACCCAAAATTTGTCCGCTGAGCTCATTAATAAAAGTTATACACAAAATATTCTATATTAGAGAGTCCTGAGAGCCATGAAATTGAGGAGTTGGACAAATATGTCACTGAAGCTTTGGCCTGGACTTTGGGCTTGAAATTCTGAGCAATTTGGGTGCAATCGGGTCCGACAGTGGCCGTTTTGCAGACGGACGGGTTTTCTGAATGGCAGCTTTTCTGGGCAGAGACATTTTCTTCAGTTTAGGGGTGGTCTTCATCTGGTGAAAATTTCTCAAAAATTCACTGGTCAACCCCCGAAAATTGAAAGGAAAATGACAGGGGACATGTCTATCGTTTTTCTGTGCAGCCTGGACACTTGTGAGAGTTGTATTTTTAAAATAATTGTGAAGTATGGGGATTTATCATTGCTGTCTATGGGAATGTATTTGTCGTGGTGCACCCCTAATTCCCCTGTTCACCAGGGTGATGTAATTCATTTCTCGCTACATGTACATGTTTCTGAGTACGCTGGCAATTAACTTCGTAACCACCGATCATGTGTGGCTCAACACGTAAATGAGTATAGCATACTGGTATGATGTAACCATGGAGGTACTAGGTGTGTTCCTTCCTCCATGATGTAACTTACCGAACTTGTTTTGACTAATAAAGAAGAAGAAGCAAGCTTTTTCGCTAGCCGTGTCATTTTTTGTTTGTTAGAGCATATGTGCTAATTTCTTCATTTACATAAACCTGACGGAAATCCTCTAGAATTCATTACCCGCTATTGGGACCTAGCTACAGTCGACGTACGAAGGACGTGTGGGACTTTGTACGGAACCAGTCTACGTCTGTTTAACTCCGGTTAATTTCGAAAAATGTTGACACACGCGGCAGAAACTACTAGTTTCTGGGCTCATTAGTCAGTCAGTGCGATGTAATATCCTGGCACCTTCCTGTTACATCCAAGTGAATGAAATCATTTTCTAGACAGCTGAGTAAAAAAATAGTCATCCAGATATGTTGAATGCGGCGTTGGCGGATAGCGACGTTATCTTAAAGAACTGGCGCCTTTCCATACCGTCTGGTTGGTGACCGATACGCATATCATAATGTTTTTAATTCCGGCTTACGTCATCTGTGATGTTACCGCGAACGTTGACTTATTTAATTAAATCAAGTATGTACATGTTTATCATTTCTAGCCTTGTATGACCCTGATCTTGCAGCCCATGACCAATAAACTGAGGGACTTCGTTTAACTTGCATGACGTCAGTTGGCAATTTCTGTCTGTGCAAGTTATAATAATTTTCTAGCTGTTTGTTTATCACTTAAGGGCAACATTCTTGCATGCCACTTTAATAGAGAACGTGGCATTTATGACGTCAAAATGAAGCCATCAATTTATGCTTAAAGTGGGTCACACTTGACTTCTAAATCATAAACTTTCGAACACAAAATAATAGCTTGCGTCATTCTTGCTCTTATTTAAATAGGCCTAAAACCACAACGACTGCATTTTCGAATAGAAGCGAAGCTAATGTGTATAAGAAAAATACTGATGGAGATTTTAAAGTCAAGATGTTAATTAACTCTTGCCGGATCCACGGATCAGAAAAATCAGACTAGCTAGCAGTTCTTACCCTGTAAACAAATCCAATGAAACAATTGCACAAGGCTTTAAGCAACCAGCTTTGATGCTTTAACTAAGTGTTTGAGAAAAAAAAATCTGTTGTGCCATTGCGTCCATCAAAAGCATTCAAGTGTTAAACTTCTATAGGGAAATTCAACTAAAAAAAAAAACTAGAGTAGGCCTAACTGCTGGAGTTTGTAAACAGAACGTTTAGCCCACACATGCTCAAATTGGTTGTCATTACATCAGTACGTGTCAATTATGTCTCGCCCGTGGTTTGCCCATGGGAGGGACACAGAAGGAGTTACAACTCTAGCACGTCAAAGTGCTCGATGATCATCGCCGCCAGGTCAGACGAACATTCCAAAAATGCCTTATTACTGCCTGCAGGTTAGCCGGACAAGTGGGGCCAGTAATATCGTTGCAATATTTGTGGTGTTTGTAAGTGGCAGTTTAGAAAATGCCTTTAAACACCACCCATATGTACACTGAAGGCCCAATCTTCTCTGGATATTGCCCTCCCATAAATCAATTAGAGGTGTAGTGGTCAGCTGGCCAGTCCTCAAGGTGGTCTATGAATATACTTAGGGGTGCACCCTGG